AATCTGATGTACACCGGCAAACTGGCGACACAACTTATCGACCCAGCTCGCCTGGAGCAGGGCGTCAAGTTCCTCCACGCTTACCCTCTTATTCAGGAGGCAAGTCTGTCTAACCATGCAACTCAGACACACCCTGAGGTCAACCTTCCCCTTTCGTCCTCTCTCTATGGCATTCAGATATCAGACCAACAGGCCACACTCACAAACCGCCTCTCAGCGAGAACGCATCTCTCCCCGCCGTTCGACTTAGAAGGTGGGGTTTAATCGACGGGAAGGGCGTAACCACGAACAAAGCTACCTCACTGACGCGGCCTGGATCTAAGCACAGGCACAATCTGACAGAAGCGGAGGTAGAGGCATCTGCGAGCATCAGTCAGTTTGTGAGGGAAGGGTCAGAGATGGAAACATCTGCAGGTGAGGCTCCGTCATGTTCCGAAACACCAACACCATTCTGCATGTGAAGCCCAGCATCATGAGAAGAAACACCTCTCTGAGGAAGCATTATACGTGCCACGTCTGCGGGGGGCGCTTCACTCAGCGAGGAACCTTACGAGAGCACCTGCTTCTACACACTCAGGCCATGCTCCCCTTGTGTTAGAGTCCGCCGGTGCGGCTTCCCCATGGCGACTGGAGGTGCCGCCACACCCAGAGGTGGAGGAAGTTCTCCGAAGCAGCGAAGCCTCCGCAGCCACTCCCATCATTGTGGAACGCTGCCAGTGACAGCGAGCAGCATCTGTACTTAAAAGACTCGCCACATCCTGAAACCGCCATGCCCATCCCGACGACAACTGCAATCAGCCTGTACACGGCGCAGCCCCAGGCGGACACACCCCCTCCATCCGATATCGCTGATATTGACAACCTAGAGGGTGCGGCTGACATGGAGCGGGAAGTGAAGCGGAGGAAATACGAGTGCTCTACTTGTGGCCGCAAGTTCATCCAGAAAAGCCACTGGAGAGAGCACATGTACATCCACACAGGCAAGCCGTACCGCTGCAGCGCCTGCGGAAAGAGCTTCTGCCGGGCCAACCAGGCGGCACGGCACGTTTGCATGAATCTGAGCTCGGAGCCAGCGTACACCATGGTGGACCGACAGAGCATGGAGCTGTGCGGGGCAGATGACTCCAGCCAAATGGAGGCGCTGTTTCTGGGCTCGTCGGTGAGACCGTACAAATGCAATGTGTGTGAAATGACCTTCTCCAGCCCCAATGAGGTGATCAAGCACCTGTGCTTCAACCAGGGGGCGCTCTCGGGTGGGGTGGCTGGAGAAATGGGCGTCAGTGGGCTGAACAGTGACAACCTGGCCAAAGACGAAGGCTCGGATTCATCCAATGGGGGGCCGTTGACAACACCCATCAAAACAGAGGAAGTCTTTGTGGAGTAGCTCCATATTCATCCACTTCAAAACATAGTTTGTTTTTTAATGTATTGCATTTGAATTGTGGGTAAATTATGATCAGTCAAAGTCAAGCTACAGATCGAAATTTCTGTTCTATATTGTATTTTTATGTATTTTTTTCTGGGGATTTTACTGTTGCTGAAAAATACTGCTTCCTACTGTGTTATTATTTTTTTAACATCAATTTGGTTTGTATATTTATAACAGATTTACTGTATGTTTAGTCCAACAAGTCAAATTCCTGCTTCATTCTGTATTTCTTTCAAGGGTTTTGTTGGTTACTCGGGTCATTTGCAGTTTTTGTTGCGGTTATAGCTCTTCCTCTGTCTAACTGTACAGGAAAAGGATGTAGTGAACTGCTGGAATCCTGCGTTCGTCTCAGTGCAGATCAGTCTAGACTTCACGTTTGGTTGGATTGGAACTCGATATAATACAAAAAAAGGTAATCCTCAAAATCATTAGTTCATGAGCATAGCCTAGCCACCAACATTTATTTTGTATGTCGCCTCCATGAAAAATTAGATCTGAGGAGCTGAGTGTGGATGTTGGTTTATGAAAGGTTTTCACTACCTCAACCGGTTTTGGACATGCAATATTGAAATTTGCATCAAAGGTTCGAGGATCAAAGTCAACTTTATCTTCCAGTGCCTCTGAGGAGTTACACAGATCTCAAAGTTTTCGTATTACATGCTTTGAGTTAGCAAGTGCAAGGTGCAGTTGTAGATAACCTTCATTCAGTGCCAGATTACTTGTCAAACATCATTTATATTAGAGTTAATGTGACCCACGATATATTTCACATTTGTTCACGTTCACTACAGTACTTTTTTTGTGCCAATACCAGCTAAATGATAAACATCCATGCCGTAAAATTGTTTGCCGGCAACAGCAGCTCATCAGTAATCTGGTTGTGTTGCTCTCACTGTGGTTCAACATGTTTACAGTTGTGCTGTGTGTGAATTTAGAAAACACTGTGGCCAATCGTACACCTGTACATCATGTAGCTTGAAGGGAAATATTTCTGTCACTGTTCCCAGATTGAATTTTGCCATGAAATTGATTTGCTCGAGTATGCTCCTAATTTCCTTATTTTCGAGCCTTGTATAACTTTTTTAATTTTATGTACAGTGCTTTATTTACAAAGAATTTTATAATCTCACAGGTTGTATATTATTCAATGCATTTACTGTAGAATATTATCCATTTTAGTGTTGCACACTAAAATGTTTAGTGTTTGTCCTCTCTGCACTGACAGTGTGGTCATGCTGTTAAAGCACTGATATCTACTCAAGATCCCTGACTACTCTGATTATACTTGTGCGACGTCAGGAAACTTCTTTTTTTAACCATTTTAAACCAGGGCAATTTACAATCAATGCTAAATATTTCTTCCATCTTTCTCCTTGTAAAGACCTCCTAGGAATATATTTTAGCACTGTGAGTTAAGTTACTACTGAATAGCTAATTAGAGGCCAGGAAGGACCATTTGCTTTATTTTGTTACAAATAAATGTAAGTGTGATGTTAAGGGACAGGAGGCCTTGTCCAAATTATGTGTAATCCTACATGCAATGGAATGCCTTTTTTCTGTAGTCTTGTTACAACTTTTTATTATTTGTGCATATGCAAGTTGTTATCCATTGAGGCAGTTATAGGGAGGGGAGGAGAGGGGTTAAGGTGCCCCCTCAAACGCACAAACCCCAAAGCCAAGGCAAGTATACTGTGATCAATTGCTCCTCAGGAACTTGAACAGTTGTCTCTGGAAAAAAAATCCTTCCTTTGCATTTTCATTGTGAATAATGATAATAAATACTTATGTTTTTGAAGTGTGCATGTTGTTTTCTTTAATACACTACTTAAATTGTAATATTTCACTGTATGTTGTTATTGTATTTCTATATTTTAACAATTCTATGCAGTCTTGGTCTTTGCAACAAACTTTAAGCCCATTCTCTGCTAGAGGCAATTTTGTACAGTATTTTGATAAACTGGATCCATCCATGTTAAATTAACAATCAGAGCGCTACAAATAATAGTATAAATTAATATTACAAAATACCACTGCTGCTCATTTTCGAAAAGCAAAACAGCTTAGGTTTATTTATTCGTTTAAATTTAGTTATGACAGCCACTAGATGGCACCATTGCGGTGCCACTACTTCAAAACTTGCAAAAAAGGATTAAATGTTTACCCTGCTTGAAAATTCCCTGCATTTTTCTTATGCCAGTTGAGTTATAATCTTGGAGGCGTATTGCTTCACTTGAAGAAAAAAAATCTACTCTGTTTTTCTGAATTAATGAGTTAATTTTTCATGAGAAAAAAAATTGCTGTTTTTCTGAATTAATGAGTTAATTTTTCATGAGAATAAATGTTTTTCTGAATTAATGAGTTAATTTTTCATGAGAAAATATTTTTTCTCTGTTTTTCTGAATTAATTAGTTAATTTTTCGTGAGAAAAAAAGTTTTTGCAAAAAAAAAATTCCATGAAAAATTAACTCGTTAATTCAGAAAAACAGAGCAAAAAAAATGTTCTCATGAAAAATTAACTCATTAATTCAGAAAAACAGAGCAAAAAAAATTTTCTCATGAAAAATTAACTCATTAATTCAGAAAAACAGTGCAATTTTTTTTTCTCATGAAAAATTAACTCGTTAATTCAGAAAAACAGAGTAGATTTTTTTTTCTTCAAGTGAATGTAATACGCCTCCGTAATATTCTCTCCAGTTTGCATTTACAGAATCTTCCCAACACCTGGGGCTCGTTCTTCGTGCTGCTTAAAACATCCGAGATCAAATGAGACATCTAAGATGATAGCATCGTGCTAATCATGATCCGGCTACTTGGGTTCTTCGAACGGGATTTTTGGAATGGGTCAACATTCTAATTCTAAAAAAAAAAAAAAAAAAAAAAACACTTTTCGCTTACAATTATAAGGTTCTATCTGCCAAAACATTATTTGAACATTAAATTAAAAAAAAATAATGTACAATGTCTCAACATGTGTTAGAAAGTCAAATTTTATCCTTTCTATGACATTTATTTTTATTTTTTAGCACTTCCACGTATTTAGGACATTTCAAATTAAGCAAGGTAGGTCTAAATATTTTCCCCAGTGCATAATCTTCATTTTTGATACCAATTTGGTGGGTAATTAAACACATTATTGCAGAAATTATACTTTAATCTTTCTTTTGCTTAGACAGAAAGCAGCCACTAATACATCTGAGCAGGACTTTATTCCAGCTAAAGTGGGCCAGGTAAAATGGCTTTCTCTCTGGACCTCAATATATGGCTGAAATCACATGCAAACGTTAATATTGTAATTAAGACCCCATTAATTAAATTGTTAAATATTTGACCTATAAGCCTTAATATGGTAAAAATTAAGACTTTAAAAACTGCAAGAAAATCGACATGCTTCATGCTTACATAATTCATAAAGTTTAATCATCATTGAAAAATTATTCACTGACTATATAATTGTCAGTCTTTGTCTGCACCATTCTGTCTTCGTCATCTTCACTACACTTCCCAGCATCCTCTTGTCTCCACACCTGAACTCACTCCCTCAATCATCCACCTGTTCATCGTCCTGATAATCTGTGTCACCTGTCGTCACCTTGTTAGTGTTCATTTTGTATCTGTATTTAGTTCTCTCTGTTTCAGTCTGTGCTTGTCGGTTCTTGATTATGTTTCATGGATAGTGTGTAATCTTCTGCCAGTCTTCCTTGTACCTGAACCTGTTTGGAGTTTTTGAGTAAATGTTTTGTATTGGAGCTTTGTGTCAGCCTCAGCCTGTCTTCATTCCACACTACACCATGACAGAAGAACCGACCAAACATGGATTTCCCTGCAGTAAGACTAATGTGCCTTGAACAGGGAAAAAGCTCTCTTGAGGAACACCTGGAGGTTTTCCTGGATTTGGTACCTCAAACCAGTTTCCCAGATGACTGACTCTGCACGTTTCTACGTGTGGGACTGAACAACACTAGCGCAGTTGTCTGGGGAACCAGGGTCTTCACCGCCGTGGCCGCCTGAAGGGTCTTCACCATCCTGGCCACGCCCTCAGCCTGCTCCGCCCTGGCCACGCCCTCAGCCTGCTCTGTCCTGGCCACGCCCTCAGGCTGCTCCGCCCTGGTCCCGCCCTCATCCTGCTCCGCCCTGGTCACGACCTCAGCCTGCTCCGCCCTGGTCACGACCTCAGCCTGCTCCGCCCTGGTCACGACCTCAGCCTGCTCCGCTCTGGTCACGCCCTCAGCCTGCTCTGCCCTGGAGACTTCCTGCTCTAATTCAGGGGTTCTCATCTCCAGTTCTCGCTACCCACTGCTCTGCATATTGTGTATGTCTCCCTTATTTAACACACCTGATTCAGATCCTCAGCTCAACATAGTCTATCCTAACGAGCTGAGGATCTGAATCAGGTGTGTTAAGTAAGGGAGACATGCATAGTATGCAGAGCAGTGGGTCGCGAGGACTGGAGTTGAGAACCCCTGCTCTAATTCAGCCATGCCCTCGTCAGTCTCCAGGGCTGGAATTATAAAGTTCTATATGACATTTTTTCAAAATTGAGCTATTCACATATTCTTATTGTGTGACAACATTATTTACCTTATGTGATGTGTTTTTTTAAATTGTTCATTATGGGACTTGTTATTGAAAAAACAAAAAGGTTCTATCTACAAAGTTGAACTCTAACTTGGCTCTATAAGGTTCTATCTGCATGAGCCAATCAGCACTTCGAATGCACAGAAGAGGACCATTCAGAATCAACTTTATATGTCGGGTCGCCGGCTTTTTCCTTGAAGACAAGAAGAAACCCCATTAAGGCATAATAGCCTACTATATATTTACAGTAAATTGAATATTCACTAAATTATGTAGCCTGAAGTGGCTTAACTTTATATTTTGTCATTTTCTTTATAGTGTAGCCTATTGGTTATTATTATTAATGAGATTATTATTAATAATTATAATAGTTATTATGATCTGAATTATACAAATATGCAGTGAGTAAATTGAATATTTTACAAAACCATTCAACATGCAAGTATGTGTTTGTTTGAAAGTATGTGTTTGTGTGTGCGTGCGTGTTCGTGTGTGTACGTATGGGGGGAGTCAGACATTTTTTGTGATTATTGTCACGTATAGTGTGGAATGAAGACAGAGACTAACGCAAAGCTCCAATACAAAACATTTACTAAAAAAAATTAAACAGGTACAAGGAAGACTGGCAGAAGATTACACACTATCCATGAAACCTAATCAAGCACAGACTGAAACAGAGAGATCTAAATACAGATACAAAATTAACACTAACAAGGTGATGACAGGTGACCCAGATGATCAGGACGATGAACAGGTGGATGATTGAGGGAGTGAGTTCAGGTGTGGAGAAAAGAGGATGCTGGGAAGTGTAGTGAAGATGACGAAGACAGAATGGTCCAGACAAACACTGACAATTATATAGTCAGTGAATAATTTTTAAATGATTATTAAAATCTAGGCCCTATGAATTAATTTGCAGAAGCATGTTGATTTTCTTGCAGTTTTTAAAATCCTAAAATGTCTTAATTTTTACCATTTTAAGGCTTATAGGTCAAATATGTAACAATTTAATTAATGGGGTCTTAATTACAATATTAACGAGCATGTTATTTGAGCCATAAATTGAGGTCTAGAGAGAAAGCCATTTTACCTGGCCCACTTTAGCTGGAATAAAGTCCTGCTCAGATCCCACGTAGCATTTATGCCATTATAAATATCTCAATATCTCAGCTCTGGAAGGGTCTAGAGCCTCTATTTTTGCACTCAGGTCTAAGTCTCATGGCCCTCTATCACAATCCAGAGTTTTGAGAAGATTGGAGAAACTTAATTTTTCGCCCGAAAAAAAAAAAACAAAAAACAAAAGGGGTACCACTGTCGTTTTTTTTTTCGGGTCAAATTTTTGAGTTTCGATATCTCAGCTCTGGAAGGGTCTAGAGCCTCAATTTTTGCACTCAGGTTTAAGTCTCATGGCCCTCTATCAGAATCCAGAGTTTTGAGAAGATTGGAGAAACTTAATTTTTCGCCCGAAAAAAAAAAAACGAAAGGGGTACCACTGTCGTTTTTTTTTTCGGGTCGAATTTTTGAGTTTTGATATCTCAGCTCTGGAAGGGGCTAGAGCCTCCATTTTTGCACTCAGGTCTAAGTCTCATGGCCCTCTATCAGAATCCAGAGTTTTGAGAAGATTGGAGAAACTTAATTTTTCGCCCAAAAAAAAAAAACGAAAGGGGTACCACTGTCGTTTTTTTTTCGGGCCGAATTTTTGAGTTTCGATATCTCAGCTCTGGAAGGGGCTAGAGCCTCCATTTTTGCACTCAGGTCTAAGTCTCATGGCCCTCTATCAGAATCCAGAGTTTTGGGAAGATTGGAGAAACTTAATTTTTCGCCAAAAAAAAAAAAAACGTAAGGGGTACCACTGTCGTTTTTTTTTTCGGGCCGAATTTTTGAGTTTCCATATCTCAGCTCTGGAAGGGGCTAGAGCCTCCATTTTTGCACTCAGGTCTAAGTCTCATGGCCCTCTATCAGAATCCAGAGTTTTGGGAAGATTGGAGAAACTTAATTTTTCGCCCCAAAAAAAAAAAAACGTAAGGGGTACCACTGTCGTTTTTTTTTTCGGGCCGAATTTTTGAGTTTCCATATCTCAGCTCTGGAAGGGGCTAGAGCCTCCATTTTTGCACTCAGGTCTAAGTCTCATGGCCCTCTATCAGAATCCAGAGTTTTGGGAAGATTGGAGAAACTTAATTTTTCGCCCAAAAAAAAAAAACGTAAGGGGTACCACTGTCGTTTTT